GTTTTTTTTTTTTTTTTTTTTTTATTGTCAGGGGTGGAAAGTTTATATACACACACACACACACACACAAACGGTTTGTGTATGGTTAAATAATCTCTACGCCACCATGTTGTCCAGAGCGTACAGTCGGAACACGTCCCCGGGGTGTAATACGTTCTGGTTTCGCGCGGGATCGCGTATGAACCGCCCGGGGCGAGAAGTAGACGATAAACTTTAGTGCGTGCGTATGTGATTCGTTTTATTTTTATTTATTTATTTATTTTTTTTTTTTTTTTTTTTTTTTTTTTTTTTATTATTTTATACACCGGAAATTCCCGGAATTATAGAGTTTAAAGGTCATTTGTTTCCGTACGCTTTTTTATCGTATCCGGTAAATTGATATAAAAACTGCACCGCGGCCGCTCCGCGTAATACGCAATACAGCGGCCGATAAAAACCCATCGAAAAATCGCGTTTCCCATCCGTTTACAATATCGCATATTCGATTGTTTCGTGTTACTTTGCGCGCGACATGAAAACCATTAATTAATCACCCGAAGAACGCCGGCCGCCAGTCTGCCTCCAAAAACAACACCACGCCACTTGTATCGGCCATCCCGTACCACTCGGTTCTTCCTGTCGGTTTACAATAAACGCGCCCCGTACGCCCCTGTTCGACGGTTCTTCTAACGGCATTTTTTTCTCCGCGTCTGTCGCGCGGCCGTTTCCCTTAAAGGCCGCCGCGCCTATCCGAACGCAGATTCGTTTTCTTTTCGACGCATACTACTGGCCGCCGAACAATCCTTAGCACTCGATAAAACTGACCCAACCGTATACTTGTTGTGACTTCCTGGCACGTACGTTTCGCCCACTAAACACCTGCGACCAAACCAAGCACCGGCCCACAGAATTCCCTCCAGGATTTTCTTTTCTCAAGTCCACGCGTCTTCTTACGCCCTAATACTACTGCATATTATACCGTCTCCAGTTTTAGTTTGTCTATAGGTTAATAGTTCAAGAGCTTCGCTAACACCCGTAATGTTTATTGGGGTTCATATACAATTAAGAGAAATGACTGTTCAAAAGATGAAAACATCCGTATCTTTCGAACGGCCGTTTTTTTTTTTTTTCGTAAACATATAGATATTTGCCGCGTCCGAATTGGTCCACGGCTTTTGCAAAGGCCATCATTGTTCATTTTCGGATGAGATTCACGGAGCGATAATGCAAACATCATTAACACGACGTAATATCGTGGATTTTTTGTTCACAGGTATGGTTTCAGAATCGACGGGCAAAGTGGAGGAAAAAGGAACACACTAAAAAGGGCCCGGGCCGGCCCGCGCATAACGCTCATCCGGTCACGTGTTCCGGCGAACCGATACCGGCCGACGAGCTGCGGCGCAAAGAACGGGAACGGAGGCAGAAAAAGTTGCTCAAAAGTTTGGAGAGACAGCAGAGAAAGTTGGCCGCCAAAGGAGTGCACGTGGACTTGGATACGTTGCGCAAGGAATGGGAATCTCAGCAAGCAAACAGTAAGCGCAGCACTCTCTCTCTCTCTCTCTCTCTCTCTCTATTTATATAAACATATATACAAGGTCTTCCAAATGTCATGTTACCGTCAAATTTTCCACGAAACACTATTTTTTTTCTCAAAAAAAAAAAGACTAAAATAAAAACATTTTGGGATTATACATTCCGAAATGTTACACCGTCTTTATTTTTTGAATTGAAACAACCTATTTTCGATTCAAAGGAGCATCATTCGAACGCCGCGCAAATGATACTCCACTATACTCTCCTACTCTCCCAAACATAAATCTCGTCGTCGGGTCGTCGGAAATCAAAAACGTCGACTCCAAAATGTATTTCGACTAGATATTCTGTCAATTTACGGAATTGAAACTGTCGCTGTTTGACGACAATCAGACGAGGATTTTAAGTGAATTTGATTACTGTTTTTTTCTAATGTTTATGGAGTCGTTTAAGCTTTATTTTAAAACCATTTTTAATTTTTCACCCCTACTCCGTGTACCTTCAATAAATGCATACTTTTGATTTTCAAACAGAAACCCCCTCTTTTGAACACAGATTTGAATAAAGAATATTTTACTAGACATTTTGATGCACACAACTCTAATATCAGAATTACCGTTTATGAAATATAACAGTTTAAAATTTAGACCGGAGGAATGGAGAAGGGTCGTTGATAGCCAATTTATTACCGATCTCTACTACTCCTCTGGGATGATTGCTGGTTCGTGATAAAAAAAAATCACCCCGTATAGGCGGCCGATTCACCCCCGAAAATAAGGACAGCGTAACGTTTTCGGACGTGTAAGACGTTTGTAAACGAGTCGTTTGTTTGGGGGGGGAGGGGGGCAAGCGATTCTCGGACGATTTCAACCGCGATGCGGAAACTCGAAAGACCCCGCGGCCGTCAATACTACTAGAGATGGGCACAACCGACCAAGTCGGCAGTACTGTGTAGCCAATTTAGTCGACCAACGGTTAACGACTAACTTTCGGTCGACCAAATGGCCAACGAACAAGTGGACTTATTTCAAAGATTTCGTACTAAGTCGGTCGGGTAAATTTTTAGTAGACTAATAATCGGTCGGCAGCAGTACTCGACGGAAACCGACCATATAAACCGGTAGTGACAAACGGTCAGCCGTGCCCGTCGCCGGACAGTACCGCGGACAATAACCGGGCCGCCGCGTCCGTTCTCGTAACGGATCTCGTGAAGAAGTGCGATCGACGGGAAGCAACTGTACCGCGCGCAGATGGAACGCCCGTCATCGTTTTGAATTTCCGGCCGTCCGAGGCACGCGTCTCTCGGGGTCGGTCAATATGATTGCGAGGACTTTACGCGGTTTATTTGTCCGCGCGGTCTCAACGGAATTCCGGGGACGGGGTAGCCCGATTAAAATAAAAAACAACAGAATCTGTCGGTGTCGGGGACCCGGCGTTTCGAAACGGCAACGCGTTATGAACGTACCGTAACGCCATCGCCGGATTACGTACCCGGGGCCCTCTAGAGCGTTTAACGAACCGCGGACGATTGTTGATGTTTTCATCTCCGCCCCATCGCGTACCGGCATTGTGGTACCTGTATGGCCTTGTCGGTGCCTAAACCGCTGTCGAGGTTTGTAGACGAGTGCGGAGTACGCGCGAGTCGTTACCGTCATATCAATTGTTAACTTTTCGTTATTGCCCTTTATCGAGAATTCGTTTTTCGTACGTGTACACAATTGTTGTTTGTGCGGACGGTATTCAATTTTTTTTTTTTTTTTTTCCCCGAGGTTATCAGCGCGGTCGCTCCTTTCCCCCCCCCTCTCCCGCGAATCGCCCGCGCCCGCACGAATTTCGTTTCGATAAAGCGCGTGGCGCAGTGATCGCATTACGAAACGCGCTTTTCAATATTACACACACACCTTTACTGCACCGAGAAACGGTCTAACGCGGTCTAAACTCATTTTTCGTTTTTTTTTTTTGCGATTTGTTTCCGGTATAGACGCGGCCAAAAAACACGGTCAGATGGACGGCGGCGTCGGCGTAGGCGGAATCGACGGGGTCGGCGGATCGTCCAACGCCGGTATGGACCTGTCGTTCCACGACTCGTCCAGCTGCTGCAGCGGCCAGACGAGCCGGGACGAGGAGATCGACGTGGTCGGCGAGGAGGACATGCACCTGCACCATCACCGGCAACACCACCACCGGACGTTGCACCGACGGAGCGCCAGCACGACGTTCGACGACGACGACGACGACGACCTGGACGAGGACGAGGACGAAGGACTGCCGCCGTACGCGCGGGCGGCAGCGGCCGCGGCCGCGGCCGTCGCTGCCGTCGCGGCCGCGTGCCGACGGACGACGGCCGACGACAGTTGCAGTTCGGACGACGAATACGGCGGCGGCGGCGGCGGCGGTCGCCACCCGTACGCACGGTCGCGGCCCGCCGACGGAGAAACTTCTCCGCCGCCGCCGACGCTGCTGAACCTGTCCACGTCGTCCGCGGCCGCCGCCGACAAGGCCCGCCGTCTCAACCCTTTCAGCATAGAGTCGCTGTTGGCCGGCGGCAATCGACCGTTCAGCATCACCGCCGCCCACATCAACAACAACAACAACAACAACAACAACCACCACAACATCAACAACAACAACAACAATAACAAAGTATGAACTCCCGCCTCGATACCGCCCCCCTTTACCCTCCCACCGTCGGTTCGTACTGTTTCTATACGCTCGTTATCGTCGTTTTAGCAATCGTCGACACGATAATATTTTTATTATTATTATTATTATTATTATTCGATATAATGCGATTCGTTGTGTGATATTATGTACCTGGGCGTTCCGAAATAGGTACGACGGGGACTTTGCGTCCGATTCCACTTTCCTCGGACGCTAATTCGAACCGACAGACGACGAATCGCCCGATTAGCGGTATTTTACGCCCGTGTTCTTAAAACAACGGGCGAAAAATTATTAGATTTTTTCAACATTTAAAACAAATTATCCGGCCAAACCGATTTTCGGCGTTATCCAACGTGACAACCGGCCGCGGCTTTCCCGGGGGCGTAAACGGCGACGACACCGTTATCGGTTTATTATATAATAAAACGTTTTTTTTTTTTACGCGTTTACGCGAGCCGAATCTGGCCGTCGGGTCACGTAGTTCTTCAACAACAACGACAATATCAAACCACATCTAATGACACGTTACGCATGTTTAACCTATACGTATTGAACTGTTAAAATACCATAGCCGTGGTGTCGGTCGGATATAGAATACGTCTGCGTACGTCGGCGATCGGTAATGCCATTGTGGCGATAACGATATTCGTACACGGCCAGGCAGAGCCGCAGCGGCGGTCGCGCGCCACGAGAAAACATTGAAAAACCGTTTCGCACGGTCGAAACTGAAATTCCGTAACTCGGAATGTGTTACGGGACTCTAAAAAAATTGGCGGCTTTATCGGAAAACTGTTGGCGAAAAATCCGTTTGTTTTACTCGGTCGCTTAATTTTACCGATTTTACCGGACGGTCGTCGAACATAGAATGTGTGTGTGTGTGTGTGTAGGTCGCCGGGCGATAGGCGCGCCGATAAACTCCCGGACGTTCGCCCGGGAAACGTCGAAAAGACGACCGGGCCGGGTCGAATCGAAAACGGCCGCTGTTTCGGGCCCGGACGGCTGTTGTAAACGAAAAACTTCACGATCCCGAACGCGTTTAATTTTGAAAAAAATAATATTCGCCTGTGCGCGCGGTACGATTTATCACGTTTCATTGGTGTGTTTCACTCAATCCGCACACCGGGACACCCTGTACGCGTGGTTATCACAATTTCTGATAGCCGCAACATCGTAACGCATGACGCGCTCTACCCGCACGCTGTACACAATAAACACGCGAAACGCGCGCGATAAATGACGCGATACCGCCGACGTTGATCCTATCGATTTAATAAAAACAATGTTTTAACGTACTCTCGGTACGCGCGATCGCGCAAACCGTCTGTCCGACCGATAGATTCGTACGGGTTTTTTTTCCCCCGTTTTTTTTTTTTTTTTTTTTTACAAAAACCCGTCTTCCGTCGTCGGCGCATCTACCCTCCCACCCCCCCACCCCCGGGCCGTCATGGACAAACACGCGTCACTCGCGTACCCTGCCCGCGTACCCTGCCCAACGACTCCGATCGGGCGTTTTTTTGTTCCGTATTCTTTTCCGGGGTTTTTTTTTTTTGTTCACATCGAATTCGAGTCGGCGAGACGCCACGCGGTATGCACACGTCGGAGCGTTCTGTCCGTTTTATTATCCGGCGGCCGTACGCATTTGCCACGCATATGCGTAAAACGCGTGTTTTCAACACTATAACAGAACGACGGCAATATTAACCTCCCACACCTACCGACAGTGGCGGGCTTAGGATTTCTCGCGCCCCTTTCCCCCCACCCCGTCCTCACGATTTACTCGGATACTCGCGTATTATTTAAACCTTTGTTTTTTTTTTTTTTTTTTTTTTTTTTAGTTTCCTTACCCCGTCTTTCCTCTACAATAACCCCGAATCGTTTAAATTTTACCGCTTCTTCGGCCGTCCCCCTAGATAATTCACCATCGCCTCCCGTACGCCGGATAAGGAAAACGAACGATGTAAAGGACGCGCCGATGCTCGGGTTCGCAACAATCGGTTCCGGTTCTTATCTTAATATACACATATATTTTTTTTTTTTTTTTTCCTTGAGCCATACCGATTTTAATAATTCGTTTTTATTTAATGTCGGATTTACGGAATGACGCATAATTATACTGTGATAAACTGATAACGTCGTACGGACTGAATAACGCGTGTGTTACGTAGTTAATACGTTCGTTTATTACGTCGTTTTTTAACGCCTTTAAAATTTGTAATTTTGTTCCTATTTCTTTAGATTTTAAGCGGGTAGAAAATAACTTATTCAATGCCGCGAGTAAATTAACATTTTCACGATTCCCGTCATAACTCGGGTGAAAAAAAAAAACGACCCCTTGACCTCCCGCCTCCGAAATTTAAGCTTCCCGCCGAAAAATCGTATTATTCGTACAATTATCGGTAGCTCGTGGTACATTTTATGTTTGGACCACCCCCCCCCCCCAAAAAAAAAAACTGGCTACGTGCCGGAGACAATCGCGCAGTTCTCCGGTTTCAATGTTGCACAGTTCTCCGGTTTCAATGTTGCAGGGACCCGCACGCGAATTTAGTACACCGATAACAATAATGTGTCGATCTTCGTAAAAAAAAAAAAAAAAAAAAAAAAAAAAAAAAAAATGAAAAATAAATATTTTAACCGACCCCGCGGCACGGGTCCGTTACTTGTTATTAGATATTACCTGCGCGTGTATATTCCGCGTGTTTTAACGCAAAATATATAACTGAATCTAGTCAAAGTATACATTATATAATAATAAAAAATGAAAAAAAAAAATAAATAACGTTGTATAAAAAAATATTATTGTCGTGTAAAATAATATTTAAAAAAAATGTATATATACATATATGTACGCATGTTTACTAAACTCTTATAGTAACGATTATTCTAGTGTAGTTTAAAAATAATAATAGTAATTAATAGACGAGCGTTAGACAATACGTATGTATTATAATTATGTGTATTTTAGTAACGAGTAATACAATATTGTATACATTTATGTTTAACGTAACAATTATTATTGTATAATTTAATTTATTGAGAAAAAAAAAAAAAAAAAAAAAAAAAAAACGGCACGCGGTGGAACGTTTTTGGCATATCTGTACATTTACAACCTATAACATAATAATAATAAATATACGACGCGAGTGCAATAAGTTTTTTTAGTTACAATTATATTATAAATTATTGTAAATTATATTGATTATTAACTGTGTATTATATTATAAAAATATCGTGTATAATAATAATACTATTATCCTGTTTTTATTATTAAAACTATTATTTCCCAGTCGTCGTTGTATAATATTGAAAATTGTTTTCCCTGTATACCAGCCCTCTACCCCGCCCCACATATCGACCAGTCGCCCGGCCGTTATTATTGTGTAAAGAATCAAAACAAAAAACAAAAAAAAAAAAAATAATAATAATAATAATTTAAAAAAAAAAAAAAAAAAATTTAAAAAAAAAAAAAAAAAAAAAACGGAAGAGGACGGCAAAAAAATCGAGTCTCAACGCCACTTATATTTATACCGTTTTTTTTTTTTTTTTTTTTTTTTTTTTTTTTTTTTTTTTCTGTTTTTTGTTTTTTAATACGCGTATGCATTATGATTATTATGTTATTATACGCGTCCTAAATCCCTTCCGGAATGACTTGTACAAACGCATTTTTACGTGTTAAGGTTATAAATATATATGTGTTGTATACGATTGTAAAATTTAAAAAAAATAAAAACAAAAAAAAAAAAATAATCGAGTCGAATTATCTATCTATTATTTTTTTCACGTAAATAAATATTTTTTATGCTCATATCTCTTTCCGCGTACATTATTTCGTCGTGCGCGCGTCACGACGACGGCATGACGGTCGTAGGCGAGATTTCGATTTTTTACCCGACCTGGGGTCCCGGACGGAAATAAACACCGAACGCGACCTCCAGCCGTGGAGGGGGGAGGGGGGAGGGGTAACGTCCCCGATGCGCGGCGCCGACAAGCGAATCGCAATTGGAGTCGCCGCCGGGTTTCGGCGACAGTTTGACGAGAAACAAAACCCGTTTCTTACGGCCGTTCCGGCGTTATGCCGTCGGCAATATTATCGTGCGACGAAATAATACGCGATGGGAAAAAAAAAAAGAAAACAACCGCCCGTCTAGCCGTTTTCGTGGCGGGGCAGGGGGGTTGTGCGTGGCGCTCGACTCCATCAGGAAAATTCGCGGTGCCCGTTTACGGGGCGCACCTGCCACCCCCACCCCGCGAGACACGATGGCCGTTGTCGACGCAAAGCGCGTCTCGCCGCCCGACCGGAGCGCGCGATAGCTGAACGGCCGAACGACGGTAATTACCGCAACGTCGCGTTCCCGACCGGGCGGAAAAGAAACGAAAACGCGGCCTCGTTTCACAAGAACGCCGCGTCCCCGCGCACAATGTTACCGTGTTTTATTGCACCGCGCTAGTGGAACCACAACGTTACGGCGACGCACGCACGCGGCCGGGGCACGCCGCACCGGGTCGGCCGCGCGCAGGCGGGGCGCGCGCGTGTGCGCGGTACGAAACGCACGGCCACTTTATTCTGACACGTCTGTACGCGCGCGCGCTTCGTATAAATAATAATAACAATATTATTATTATCATTATTATCACCGTCGTGTGTACGCGAGACGATGAAGACATCTTTTACAATTAGTCTCGGCCCGCCGCCGGTGCGAAGACACATTAAGCGCGCGTACGTTTTTTTTTTTAATCTTTTCTTTCCTTCCCGACAGGCAGGCACCCGACACCTCGTAACGTTCAACACCTCTCTCCGGCTCTCGCTCTCTCCTCTCTCGCCGTCTCCCCGTCTCTTTCTCAGTCCGCATCCACTCTCTCCCCCGTCCGCCCCCGGACAGTCCGTCCCGCGTTTCTCACGGCGATAATATACGTTTATATTATACCGCCCGTATGCGTTACGCTATTGCATCGTTACACACGGTGGCCGGTCGGCGTCGTCGTCTACGTTCGGTGGTCAGTGGTGCCCAAAATCCCGAAAACGTAAACAATACCGCGTTGCTCGCGTCGAGAACGCGCGGTTTGGGTCGGCAACGCGACACGTCTACGCGTCAGCGGCGACGGCGACCACCGTACAACAGGCAAACGTATCACCGCGATGACGGGTCGGACGAACGATAAAACGGTCTTTGTCGTACATTCGTGAAAAAAAGTGCCCCGGCGTTTCGGGGGGTGACGCGCAGACGCGCGACGAGAGGGGTCATACGCCGGGTCCGCGGAGTCGGCCGCACGATGACGGTCGCGTGGTGTTTCACTCCGGCGGGGCGGTAGGCGGCCGCGAACACCGTCCGGTCGAACCGCCGTGCGGGGGGGGGCTAAACTCCTGCGACGGGCCCGAAGCGTCGGAGAGCGTTGCCGCGGACAGCACTGCGGCCGGTGACGACTGCGAAACGTCCGGAAAACCCGCGGCCGGGCTTCCGGAAAGGCTTCGTCCGTATGGTAAAAACGTTCGGTTATAATAGGGCTTAAAATAAAAAAAAACCCGACGACGACACCGCCCCCTCCGGGAAATATTATCCCGATAAAAACCGAGTAAACCGGTGTCCGATCGGTATTGAAGAATGTATTCTTCAGCGGAAACCTTCAATCGGAGTCGTTCCGGAGGTGCCGTCGAAAATATTCTTCAACGGCAATAACTAAAACTTCCCTGCCCCCGTCCCCGTCCCCCTAACTTCGGAGACTTGAGCCATAGGACGCGGATGCATTCACGTTGAACAAAAAGACAGACACTGGGTTCCCCGGTTCGACCGCCGGCGGTAAGTATTCGTTCGCTACAGTTGTCCGTCGAGTGCTACGGGTGTTCATCGTACTTTCCCTTCTGCGTGACCGTCGGTAAGCGATTTCGACACGGACGTTTGCCGCGGCCCTTTCGTTTCGTTAATTATTCTGTTTTGAAACATCCCTACATACGTTGTTGCACGTTGGCGAATACCGAGAAACCTCGACCGTCTCGCGGCACTCGTGCCCGACGCCGCCGCACGCCCGTACCCGCGGTGCCTGCCGCGTGGGTTTGAAACCTCCGCGCGGTATATTACAGTCCGGACGCCGAGTCTCCCCGGAACCCGTTTGAGACACGTGAATATTCAGTAATTATGCATCGCGTGTAGAAAAGGGAGAATTGACGGCGTCAGCAAACGGATATCGCCGCGATTTTCCCGATACGCCGCTGCGGCGATTGCGGCGAAGAGCGGACAAAGCGGAGATATTTACAGTCAGAAACCCGCGGGGTCGGGGGGGGGGGAAATGTCAAGACCGATCGGGCGGGGCCCACTCGAATCGTCGCGGGTTCGGGCGCGCGGCGCAGCGCGTTACCGTTGACGCCCGGCCGTAGGGTTCCCGTACGTTATCGTGGGCGGCGCCGCGGAGTGTTTCCGTCGCCGCGAAAAGAAAGAAAAAAAAATAAATAATAATAAAAAGAAGGAGTCCCGGCGTAATCGGTGGTCACCACGCCAGTGATCACAACGGACGACGGCGCAATGACAAATACGGCGGTAACGTTTCTGTTTAAGCGCGCGAACCGGCCGTCCGCGGTGTTTACGACCTGTCTGCGGGTCGCCCGCGGAGTATTTAATTACAGCGCATTCCGCAGTGCCACACAATAATCACTGTCGAGTGCCGGATTTTTTTTTTTTTTTTCGGGTTTTTGTTTTTGTTTTTTGTTTTTTTGTTTTTTTTTTCTAGCATACACCGTGCGTACACACGCGGATACTACGGTACAGTAATAATAATAATAATGTATCGCGCGCGTCGCGTACACGCGGGATTTCGTTTAACGACGTCGCCGCGTAAATAATAATATATCGTCGAACAATATAATTATTATCGGATAGGTGTACTTCCTCGTTCGCGTGCAGTTGTTTTGTCGGGAGACGGCAGGAGAAAAAAAAAACCAAAGACGAAAACGGCAATAATGAAAAAACGAACGAGCGGTGCGTTTTTTTTTTTTTTTTTTTTTTTTTTTTTTTTTTGTTTATTATTTCAATTTGCATTCCGGTTTATATACACGTCGCCTTCGTCGCGGGAAACGCCTTCTCAAAATTTAACGATATTATTTACGCGCCCGAAGGTACCTGAAGATAATATAATTTATGTTTACGAGAACGAACGGTGTAGAAACTGCCGACAACGTAATTTTAGATTCTGAGCGAAGCGCGAGGATCTATTGCAGGTCTTATTATGATTTCTCCCCCCCCCTTCCTCCACACCCGTTTGTAAACAATACTTTTCCCCTAAACATCTTGCTCCAATCAGAACACGACAAGAGAGCTTTTTCGTCGAATTTTCACCCGGTGAATTTAGGCTTGATACTTGGAAAAGGGCGTTTTATTTTGAAATTCTCATCAACATTCGAGACAACGACGAAAAGATACTGGACAATCTCCGATCAGAATCGTTTTTCGTTGCCAACGATTAACCGTCGTGTACAAATATAAATTAAATTATCCTCTGTATACGCTACCTTGCCGACTTTTCATCCGAAACAGCGGCTCGTCCGTGGTGCGCAGAATGTCCGTCCGTCTGTTAGATTCTGAACAGAGCAACTTTAAGAGTGTAATTTTTTTGATTTTCTCGAGGGTTTTCATAATAAATGGGAAAAAAACGTAGGAAAACTCGGAAAATGTACGAAATGTACAATTTCCAATCGTAAGTATTACGACTTTTCAAAACACGTTTAACCGTACTCCGCTCAGAATCGTCTTTCGTTACCGACGGATAAATCGTCGACCGCCTTCCCGTAACACTCTCGCCTGCAACGGCCCGTTTCCCCGGCGCGCGCACTCTGCGGACGTGTTACCGCGGTACTTACTGGTGCGCACGCGTTGCGCAGTAAACCGTGCGCAGGAAACTCGATTGTTTCTCAATAAAAACCGTACCGCCGACAACGATAACCGTTGTCATCGCTAAAATCATAATTATTATCACACCGCCCGCCGTCGTCTAATTACGCGGAAATTATATCTAAAACAACAGTACACCGGTGAACCCGACGCGCGGTGCGCAACACGTAACGAAAACGGCCGCGGAAAATCGTGACGTTATCGCCGCGATCCGCGGAACGGCGTGGACGCGAACGTACAGAGTGGAAAAAAAAAACAAAACAAAACCGCACGCGCAACAGCCCGATTGAATAATTATTATTTGTTATTGGGGGGGGCGCATATTGTTTTTTGTTTTTATCGTCGTCGTCGTCGCCGTCGCCGCCGCCGCCGCGTTCGACGGGTGTGCAATTCGACGTATTCGCGATTTCGCCAGCCGCGGACCCCGACCGCGCGGCACGGGGGCGAGATTTCGCGGCGGACGTTGTTCCGCGCCGGGCAGGCGGAAAACGGCGCGTCCGCGCGGTGCCGCGGAAACTTCGCCGCGTTTACGGGTTTTTTTTTTTTTTTTTTCCGCGCGCCGCGTCCGGTGGGTCGGACCGAACCCCGTCGACCACGCCCAGCCGCCGCGGCCGCGTACACGGCGACGTAAACGATAAAAACGGTCGGAAACCGCGCCGGCTGATAACGGTCCTGCGAACGGCGACCGCGGTCGCGACCAGACCGCTATCGTAACGATGCGACATTGGTACCGTGCCGCACTCGCGCGACTGTCAGAAACGCCGGCGGTACGCGATTGGTTTGACGGCACGGGCGTTTGCGTCGCGTTCGGTTACACGATACAGACGGGCGTGCATCCGAACACCGCGTCCCGT